CAAAGGGCAAACTGAGCGTGACGAGAGTTTTTGGAACCGGTCTGTTATTCTATTGAAGTCGACAGTCCAACCGCAATGGCTAGAAATGGTCCACAACGCAAAAAGGAAGCCAAACTATGGAAAGCGTGGCTTAAATGGTGTTATGGAGGAACGAATGCTCAATAAAATCGAACTAGTTGGCCCCGTCGTCGATTCCTACGTGAAGCACATGGGGAATCTGATTTACAGCAAATTAGCAAGGTCAAAGAACACTGGGCTGATGTCTCCAATAACGCTATTCATTCCGTGGCCCATTTTTCGTCATATCTGCGTTTTAGTGGTTGGGTATGGTGGTGACATGAAGACAACTACCCTCAAAATCGTTTTAACGTTGTCCTCTAACAATACTGCTAAAAAAGTGTTTTCGCCAGTTAGGATGAAAGGCACAAACTGTCTCAAGAAACGAGTCTACAAGTCTGTAATGCATAAAGGGAAAAGAGTAAGCCTGTTGAATGGGAGAGCTGCCGTTGTGGTAACAGATAAGTCCCCAATCTTGTGTTGTTATAACAGAAAGAAGGAATGCGTAGTCGTTTCGTTTTACGTACAACGATACGACCTCAACGACTTTGCAATTGACTTGTCTTTACAGAAACTAATCAGTTGAGCTCTGTTGTGATCAGACAGTTTCATTCGGTGGACATAACAATCTGTTATTAGGAAAGTTTAGGACCATTGCATTTTAACCCCCGCTTTTTTATACCCCCCCCCCCCCCAATTGATGAAATCATTACCCTCCTTAGAGTAAAAGGTAACTTACCAGTATAACCCAACCTCGTAGGAAATATTTTTAAGAACAAAGACTACCAGAGAGCCCCTCAGAAAATCTTACCCGTAGGGTCTGTTCTATTTAATTGAATGGCCTTTAATCAATTTTTTGGCATCTGACAGCTGCTTATGGAAATTATTGCACATATCAGCTCCAAACATTTGTTAATTAACAGGTCAGATATTTTAATGACCAGCATTTGTGTTCCCTGATTAGGGTTGTTTGGGTTGCAGGGAATAACAACTGGTTCCCTTGTTTTGTACTAAAAGCCAAACAGCATGACAAACTTTCTGAAGGATCCTTAAAGAGCATGTACTCTTCTCTGGAGTCCAACCACAGGGTGCTAATACAAGCAGTGTGTCTGTTTGTATGTTTGAAATAATAAAGAAATGTGTGGGAATATTGAATAGTCTTCATATCATAGACTTACATCGAGTAAGGTATACTTTTAAGCTCAAGCTTTGAAATAATAAAGAAATGTGTGGGAATATTGAATAGTCTTCATATCATAGACTTACATCGAGTAAGGTATACTTTTAAGCTCAAAATAAACGTATACATTACTCAGTATAAGTCTACTATAAAAAAAAAATTATATTTAGACTGACAATGTACCCCTACATTTCTTTATGTTTTGTACATGCAGTCACACTACCTTTAAGGTTACCCTGTGATCCAATCCTAAGGCAATGGTTGAAAACAGGTGCATGATAAATGCACATTACAGCTATTGATTGCCTGTAAATATATGACTTGATTTCTTTAAACTGGGTGAATGAACTAACAAAGCCTAGTTTTCATCCGCTATTGCACCCTCCAGTCTTCTCACAAGAATATCCTTGTTGCCTGTTTCACAAAGTCTCCTTGCTCGCAGTTCAGTCTTAAGTTCATTGACTTTCATGTCTTTTGGTGCCTTGTTAACTGCTGTTATCAGTGGTTGGGATCCATGGGAGGCCAAGTGTGATGTCAGTGTTACTTCATCTGCAAACTGGTTCTTGCATACACTACATAACAGGCTTCAGAATGTCGAGGACTTTTGAAGAGAGTTGTTTGTTCTGGGCACACAGAACAACTTCCATACTCTCAAGGCAATTGGCACAACAATCAATGCTGTTTCCCTTCTTTCTGCCACAACTGCAATAGCACTCGAGGTTACAGTGGGGTGGAACACGGGATTTCAAGTGTGAGCTGTAACAGCTGGGCATGGGCTGATGTTCTGGAAGGTAGAAACTACGTATGTAATTTGCTCGCATGACCTGCCACCATTTCCCAGTTTCATGTGCTTTGTTAGATCTGTTACTTAAAGCTAGATCAGACTTAATCCCTGAATGTTTTGATTCTTTAGCCTGCAGGGAGATTATTCCATACCCTATTCTGTACTCGTCATAGATCTTCAATGCATGATAAGGGATTGCCTAAGCTATTGTCCAGGTAGTAACATTGACATAATTCGTATATGAGAACGATCCTTCGCAGTAATTGACATTGACAATTGACATAATTGGGGAAAAAGAGGCAGTATAAATTGAAGTAGATTTGACAGTATTCCTTGAGCTCTAGCACTTCAGCTTTATTTGTCGACACTTTGTTGAACAATGTACAGGCCTGTCGTAGGTAAAGTACAATCCTGCTCAAGGCCACAGTCCTCAGGTGCTGGCCAGGTGATTCATCAACGCATTCCAAACCATCGATTAACTGATACCCATAACGGCCCAAGGAAATAGCCTGATCACCAATTAGTCGTGTCGGCAGCTGATTGTACCTTTTGTTTTCATCAGCATAATGTTCCTTTATAAAAGGTACAAGGTAACCAAGACCACAGCCTGGCTTACCAGCGTCTGGTATTTGGCGCTTGGTACAGGTATTTTCCATGTGGGTGACTAGCCTTTCGTTAGCCTGTTCTGCAATTTCTAACCTTGAAACTCTTTCCCCAGCACCTACCTAACAAATGATAATTTGAAGAACTTTAATAAACAGTGTATTTTTTATAGCTATGCAAAACAATCAGAGATGTAAGGCTGTTAAGCTGAGATAAATTGAACACAAGCAAGTTCAAATTACCAGTAATAACTATTATTTTTACACAATCAGTCTCTGAGAATCTTCTACCTGTGGTTTTAGGGGTCAATATTATCTTTAATATTAATAATGCATGAATGTATATTGCGGTACTTAAGACTTAGTAGAGTCTTTTAAAGGTTGTTATTATAAAGTTCATCATTAGACTTAATAGGGATATTAATAATTTTCACATTGAATTCAAAAGAACATGTTCTTCATATAAAACTCAAATACAGGAAACAGGTTTCCAAAAATGCAAAGTATTTTATTTTCTTTATGTAGATAAGCTTGCATTACCTTTGACTTTGAGCCTGGTTCTTTTTTTGTTTCCTCTTCACTTTGCATACAATGTCCAGTCTGGCTTCTTTTTTCACAGAGTCTCGTTTCCATTTTGCCTAGTGGATCATCT